ATGGTCGCTGCATTTTGTAGCTTTTGTCTTTTTCTTTAAGGCAATCATTGGCACTTCTGTAAAGTCCTTGGGCCACTCCCCAGTTTCATATATGGTGTTTATTAGTTTTGTCAATGTTTTCAAACCACCTTCTCCCAGTAATTTAAGCACATCTCCAGGAACATCATCATCTCCTATAGCTTTTCCCTTCCTCATTTCCTTGATAGCTTTTTCCACCTCACTTTGTAAAATATATGGTCCTTTCTCGTCTGTATCTACTTCTTCTTCCGGTTCCACTTCCAAGGTTTCTGGCTGATTAGGTCGATCATATAGTTCTGTAATATAATTTTCCCAAATTTTCAGCACTTGCCTCTGATCTACTCTTCTATTCCCCTGTGAGTCTTCGATGCCAACATTTTGAATCCCATGGTTCTCTTTCCATCCTAGTTCTTTTGTCTTCATGTACATCAAATCATAACGTCCTGTCCTTTGAAATTCTATAATCTCATTACATATCTTCTCAAGATGTTCCTTTTTGGCCCTGTCCATGGCTCTTTTCAATTCATTCCTCAGTCTCCTGTATTTCCCCCTGCCTTCTTCATTGTTTACATTCTTCCATTTCCTTCGCTCCTCCATTTTACTTATCATCTCCTGTTTAACCCATGGGTTTCTTGCTATCTTCTCAACTTTACCAACCAATTCACTAATAAGAGGCTCGTCCACAAAGTAAGTTTCCCTGGGGCCGTTTACAGAAACAAATCACAATCTCCTGGAAATATTTATTGCAACAGATACAGCAAATGTTCAGCTATTTTTCAACATAATCGCCACCAGAATTGAGACATTTGTCATACCGTGGGACCAATTTTTGAATACCTGTGTCGTAGAAGTCTGGCGCCTGGGATTGGAACCACTGTGTGACAACCATCTCTGCCTCTCTGTCATTCTCAAAATGCTGATGCTTACTGGAGAGGAATATCTTGAGGTGTAGGAAAAGATGGAAATGACTGGGAGCGAGGTCCGGGCTGTAGGGTGGATGATTAAAGACCTCCCAGCTGAACTCCTGCAGGAGACTTGCTGTTCGTTGAGCCATGTGCAGCCTAGCACTATCGTGCAGGAAGACAATACCAGCACTAAGCATCCCGCGCCACTTGTTCTGAATGGCCTGTCGCAATTTCTGCAGTGTTTCACAGTAACGCTCAGCATTCACCGTCTCACCTCTGGTCAGGAAGTCAACTTGGCCCAGAATATCATGCACATCACTTTCCACACCAACAACATCTGCTTGAATTTCGTCTTACAGGGAGATCCACTTTGACACTCTATCACATACGCGCAGTCGCTGCACGCAATATAAGGTTTGCTAGCTGTGGGATGAGTGGGAAACTTACTTTGTGGACGTGCTACATAGTATCTAACATGCATTCTTTTAGATTGTTACACTGATGATATATGCTCTTAATTTAGTAAGATATTTTTTGTTGAATCCATAATTATTCATATGTAGATAATAATGCTATACATATGCAAATAAAACTCCAGACTGCTGTTTGTAAAGTCACTATGCCTCAGTTCTCCCAGACTAGTTAATTTAACTGTTCTTTATGCAGAGAAATTGCACTTAATTAACCGTGTCCATAGAGTTATTCCAATGTAGACTGTAAAAGAACTCACCATTTCAGGTGAAGCCAGACATGTTGCAATTACGAGTACCAGTGTGGGTATCAGACATGGACTTCTTGCAAGACAGTGCCAAAATAGCAGTTTGCACAAGATATGGACATGTAAGTCTTCGTGTATGTTGAACACAAGTCCCCCATGTGTTTGTAATACCCGCAGAGGACTGGGACTGTCTTTGCAGTCTGCTGTAGTGTAGATATGTGTGGATATTGTTCCTTGATTTTAATGTTGATCATGACAAAATTCCTTGTACAAGTCTTTGCAGATGTTTATGAGAAAAGAACTTGTCTTATAAGCATTAAAGTAAGTATGGTATTTGGATTAGCCATTGTTTATAATCATCCACTCTGCTTCTACTTTGCATTGCCACAGATAATCAAGAATTTCTTGTACAAGGAGGATTTTTAGTGTGTGGACTGGGTCCACAGCTCTGCACTTCACAACAGCCTGTGTGACCCTTGCTGTGAGACGCACAGGAATCTTGCCGACGAATCAAAAACTTAAGTGTTGAACACTTACTGAGGATGAGTTAGATGACTTGAACATACACTTAGAAAATCACTGAAACATCTAACTCAGGAGACTGGAATGGCAAAGTCTAGTGCAGGAACAGCAACACAGCTGCTGAAGCCACCCAGTGAAAGTTTGGGTCTGTGTGTTGTAGGTGCAAGAAGGATTGTTGTACCTGTGTTTTTTAATAAACCAATTAATTGTGAAAAATATCTACATATAAAGAGGAGAACATTTTCAACACCTCCTGTGATCTATGTATTGTAACTACTGCATTCCGAATTTTATCGGCTGTCAGGCATTCTGATTCGTTGGCAAAGTTCGTATGCGCCTCTCAGCAAGTAGCACACCAGCCCCCGTGAAGCACAGAGCCATCAACTCAGCCCACACACTGAAATTCCTTCCTGTATATAATCTTCATAATTTTATATAGTAAGCAGAAAGATAAAAGATTTTAAGCTGAATGGTAACAAGCCTTTCCCAGGTTTCATCTGCTCTCTTTCTAGCCCCAGCAAAAGCCATACATATTTAGTGCAGCAATTTTTAACCTTTCAGAACTCTTACCTTGAATTAATGTGAATGTGATTGATTCATGTTTTCACCCTGACCATAACCACACAACTGATTTTGGTGAGTCACACACAGGAACCATGCCGCTTGTGGATCATGGTTACTTTAATTCCTGACTGAGATGCTTGAAGTGTTTATTTCAAGTCATTAATTATTGCAGAAATCAGTGTGTGCGGTATGCTCCTGAGTATCATCACATATATTATCCTGTTTGTAGCTTATCCATGCACATTTTTAGGAGCCTTCACAACTCTATGGAGCACATATGAAGCTTGCTCAGTGTCCCCCTGTATGCATGAAGCAACTTGAGAATGATGTGTCACTTCAGCTGTCAGAACGAGGTTGCTTCAGATGCTGGGGTTTTCCAACATTATGAAAAACGTTGCGGCTGCCATTTCAGGGTTAATGACATTTAAGTTTTCATTTTGATCGGGCAGTTTTAATGACCATTTTTCATGTAAACAAACATGCATTTCCACAAATTTTTTAGTGTAACTCACTCAGTATTTGCTGATCAAAAGATGTTTGGAACAAAAGTTGTTGTTTATCCCAGTTTTTCAATTATTCATGCATAATTCTGTCTTCATTGGCATGAGTAATCAGAGTATACCATATTACTAATTATGTTAAAGGTAAAAGGTTAAAGTTGTCTGTGTGCATAATTAATTAAGCACTGCACCATGAAGATGTATGGGGGAGTGGACATAGAGACCCATGTTTTCTTGACCTCGCTACTAGTTGGAGGTTAGTGGTCAGCTTCATGCCTCTACCACTTTAACCTTCGAGAAAGAACCCCTGGTACCCATTGGATAGGAGGCTGTGTGGGCCCCAGAGTAGGTCTGGATGACATGGAGAAGCGAAAATTCTTGCCCCCACCAGGACTCAAACTCCAGCCCCTTGGTCGTCCAGCCAGTAGCCAGTCCTGGCTCTTTGTTACTAATGTTATTTTATTTATTTTCTTTAACTAGCAATACAAAGAAAGTCTTATCAGATTGTATGTAGTTAGTCCTATAAGAAGGTAAAGAAGATACGCAATTTCTTCATATAGTTTCTAATAACCCTTATTAGTGAATACCTTGATTTAGTGTAAGAAAGGCCATTCCCACAGAGAATAGCTATTTTACTGTATTTTTTCCAGTTTCAGTCCAGAGGTATAGTGTTTGATATTTAATTTCTAGGTAAGAGTATATGACCCAAGCACTCCACAGAGGCGACCAGTTATTAATATGGATATTCCAGAACAGTCCCTGACAACTTTGGCAGTTACTAACAAAGACAAGTAAGTAATGCATGAGATTTATAACGTAAGAATATGTCTCACCTTGTTGCTGGGGATGAGACTCCAAGCTTTACACTGTGTTTGTTAAAATAATAAAGAAGTTTTAACTGTGACAAGATATGATTAAGATTTGTGAATTATGCCAGGTACTTAAAAGCTTCCAGAAGAACTAATTAGGTTGCTCTCTTCACCAAAATAATTTATAATGTAGGAATAGAATGGTCAAATCTGTTTATAATTTTGAAGCTCTTAAACCCTTGGAACCCTTCATTTGTATTGGACCAAGGAGTATACAGTGGAACCTTGAACTTCAAACAATCAATTCTAGGAGATGGTTCGACTTTCAGGTTAAATTTCCCCATTTGAAATAATGTAAATTGAATTAATCCATTCCAGACCCCCAAAATTTACCCAATATAAAACATTTTAAATGCCTATATCAAAAGTTCATAATGGTAAATAATGATCAAACAAATATATTTAATTTCAATAATTGAATGTTTTTATTTATAATAGTACATACAAAAAAAGATTGTATAATAATCAATAATAATAGTAGGAGGGATATTACTGTTCACCAAAAAGTGAATTACCCTTCTTGCATCTGGAATCCACTAGTTGAGGGTCGTGGTTCATTAACATTACCACCACTTGATTTTTCTTTGGAGAAAAACCTGTATAATATCATTTATTTTTGTCTCTTTTTTTTTTTCCCCTCCCCCTGAAATGTTGCATTACACTGTCTTTAAACAGGTTGATACTCTGTTGACAACTGTGGTATTGGGGTGCCACTTCTCTGTAAGGCTTTGTTTTAGACCACTATCCCAGCAGTTCCTTAATGCCTACATTGGGGATGCTTCCCTTACTGTCTACTTTCTCCACCTCTGAAGACAGTTCCTACGCCACTTCTTGCTGCTGCTCGGTGGTCAACTTAGCGCTGTGGTCTTCCACCAACTCCACAACATCCTCACTGTCCACCTCCAGGCCCACGGACATCCCCAAGGTCACAAGTTCCTCCACCACTGCAACATTCCATTCAGGCTCTTCTAAGTCTCTGGCTGATGCGGAGGCTGGCCAGAGATTCGCCCAGGAAGATAAGTTCCTTACTCATTTCTACTGTAGAAATTACAAGTTATCTCTTAGGCTTTTCAGCTCTAGTAACTTTCTTTGGTGCCATTGTGAATGGGCAGTATTGAAGATAAATAAATAAATAAAATGCTTACAGACAGACTGAATTTTCAAGATGCTCACTGAACCATTCACCGGAGAACTGACCGAGCAACTGCATGTACAACCAAGCAGAGAAATAAGGTGACCACATGACGACCACGTGATTATTTGTCTAGCTTTCAAGATTTTGTTTCAGTTTCAAAGCTGAATTTTCCTAATTTTCCTTGAATTATTTGTTTCAAGTTATTCAAGCATCAAACTGTTCGAAGTTTGAGGGTCCGCTGTATTTAAGACAGACCATTATTCCTAGATCCCATAAACAGTTAGTACCAGGGGTATTAGATTTCTCATTTTCTGCTAAACATGTACGGTCATTTCTTGGTTTATATGGTAGATACATTCCTAAAAGACATTGAATAAATTCAAATCAGGAGGTAATTTTCCATATAAAATTAATAAAAGTGTGGGCTTGTGTGTTTGGGCCAAGCCATCACAAAAGGTTATAAATATTAATTCCTGTAATGTGTTTTGCTTATTTTATTTTTAGATTTTCCTTAAGAGTAAGGTAAAAAGTATGACAATAGAGACGTTTCATAGCTTTATTTTAATTANACACCACATATACACGGTGCCAAATCCCAGAAGACTGCTTTCTTCATAGTCACTGCCGTGAAAGCCTCAAATCTTACATGACATTCTTCTGTATGATATGGTACCCTATCTTCGTCTGATGAAAATGAGCGATAGCTCAGTGCCGCCCTGTCATCCACCATGTGTCCCACTTATTCCCTAGCATTGGAAATCATGTTTTGGAGATAATGGTGGATATTTTGAATGTGTTCAATAAAAGAGTTTGATAACTTTTCTATTCCAACATTTTTGCTTATTCTTTTTAGTTTTCTGCCACTAACATACTATAAATAATGAATGGAAGGGAAAAATGAGGTAACATTATTCTAGGGTATCTGAATTATTCATACCCAAGGACTATGTAACCAGATTTGAGGTTCTCGTGATGGCATCTCTGGAAAGTGCTGCCAACTGGGATGTGGTCCCATGTAATCTAGTGTAAACTCACTGAGGAATGTACTGCCTCTGTTTTCATGGTCAAGGAGTAAACTCAGCAAGTAACAAGCAGGAAGCATGATCATCTGCTTATCTGGTTGTCACAGTAACTGGCTTTTCATAATACAAATTTAATAGAAGCTTCTTCCCACCTCCAGTATGTAAAACCATCACTGATTTAACTCAATAAAATGAATATGCAGACTGTCTTTGCAGAGACTGAAATGGAATTAACATGCATTCCATGAGGTTTGGTGAAAACCGTTTATTGAGGTGATTGTATGAATATGCACACAAAACCAATGAGCAGTCATTCGGTTCCATGATACCAAAGGCTGTCAGCTAACATTGTATGGGGGAATATATGATTTGTGTAGAAAGGTGTGTATCTAACCATCTAACAACAGTGGAATAGCATTGGATGGATCTGCACTTGGAATGCTGACATTTAATTGTGCTATACTGTTCACATTTGTTGTAACTTACCTGTCCTGTTGCGTAGATCGAGGTTTACTGCTAGTGTGTCATACATGTTCACAGCCCCATGATCATCTGCAGCCAGCACTGAAAATGGGATTTTACACTTCTGAAGGGACCACTTTAAACTGATGTAAAATCAAGGAAATGAAAATATATGTAGCTGTTATAATAAAATACATTAAATTAATGCTGTGGTACATTAAACTTGTGGGACACAAATTAGCATAGTAGGTTGAGGCACTATGCTACAAGCCAGAAGTTTGCGGGTTCAATTCCCGATGAGGTCATTGGATTTTTCAGTTGACCTAATCCTTCCAGCTGCACTATGGCCCTGGGGTCGACCCAGACTCTAACAGAAATGAGTACCAGGAATCTTCCAGGGGGTAAAGGTTGGCTGTTGCATAAGGCTGACAACCTCACCACCATCTGTGAGCTGATTTTCTAGAAGATGTGGGAGCCTCAACATCTCATCCCTCTGGGCCTCCACGGCCTGCTAAAGATGTAGATTTTTTTATTACATATATGACTGAGGTCATGTATATACACATACACACACACACACATGCACACACAATTTCACATAGATTCTACATGATGTATATTTTTGTGTTTTTGCAGCCATATTGTTGTAGGTAATACAAAAGGAAAGATAATGCTTATTGACCTACGCAGGAAAGGCTCAGTGGTGCAACATTATAAAGGAGCTGTGGGTTCGTTGAAGTCTATAGTATGCCATAAGACAGAGCCTTACATTGTGAGTGTTGGACTAGACCGACACCTTCTGGTCCATAACCTCACCAGCAGGGCTCTGTTGCAGAAGGTAAAGGCATGTGTTTATTTTGTTATAAAACACTGGAACATTTAACTGCATTTAATTATGTAGGATGCAGTTTATGAGGGAGAGTCAATAAATACATCACAAATGGATATAAAATGTAAAACACGTGTTATTTTATTCTGGAAAAAATATTTATTTCTCAACATTTCCTCCACCAACATTGATACACTTGTCCCATCACTTTACTATTTCATCGACGCCCACAGCATAGAAGTCTTGTGACTGTTGTCTCAGCCACTTCCACACCTCTGTTTCAACTTCTTTGTCATCAGGGAAACATTTGCCATCAAGGTGTTTTTAGTGGCCCAAACAGATGGAATTCACACTTACAACCATATACATGAATCATTTCTTTATCATTTCTTTGCACTGAGTCATTTTGCCCAACAAAAAAAATGCACAGCAGAACACTGCTCTTCAGTAGTAAACATGTCGCACAGTTGCCATTTTGATTACTGAAACCAGCCTTTGAACATGCGCATGCTTGCCTGCTACCTAGCCTGTCATGAAGCTGGACAGTGCTGCTACATGGATACCCTATTGCAACTTGGGCAATGATACTAAAAAGTTTAAATCAGAGTTAAAGAATTATCTACATGCTCCTTCCTTCTACTCTTTAGATGAATACTTCAATGTAAATAGAGAATGATGTAAAATTAAGTTATATTAATTTTTAAGCTAAAATTGCCTGTACTTATGTATGTAACCTTTTGACTTGTTCTGTATCCAAAGGTACTAACCTACTTAGGATTTATAGAATGTAAATAAATTCAATTCAATTCATCCATTACAGCTGTTTTAGTTCCATTTGTGACCTACTTATTGATGCTCCCTCTTATATTAGGTGGAAAAGAGAGGACTGAACATAAAAACTATCAGTTACAGCAAAATTCTGGGGTGCTTACATATTAACAGGTGACCCAGACTTGTGTATTGATGGGCTGACACAGACTGAGTGAGTCAGTCCTCCTTGTGATTGGCTGCTATCACCATTTGGTGTTCTCGGAGAAGGGGCACAGCTTGGTAATAATAGTAATGTTGGCACCAGACCTCATCTAACTGTCAACTGTATCTGCTATGAAGATACATTTTCCAGTGGAATTTCTAGTTGAATATACTGTATTCCTGTTTATTTCCTAGTAGAGTCTACAGTACTATCCGGGTGACTGGTGGTAATAGGCATACATGTACGATGTACATCACAGACTCATATTTTGTTGCTGAATATACTTGAAATTAATAGGAAGAATTTATGTACTTATTTTACTCAAATGTGATCCTTTGATATCAATAAATATTGTGACGTATTTGCGCTATGCATGACACTCCTCCCCCCGCCAGCGGTGACGTAACAGCGTCGGAGTGCTGTCGCTGCTACAGTAACAGTCTAGCTAACACTCTGCCCCCCTCCCCCACAGTTATGTAACACAGGACAACAGGGAATGGTATAAAAAGCTGGCTGAGCAGTATGTGGGCAGAGAGTGTGTGATCAGGAGAGACATAGTGTGGAACGTGAAGTCGCCGAGTGCAGTTGAAGTCTAGCAGTCACCGAGAGCCGGAGAAGTATTTGTGATGCTGCAGATGGCACTAATCATGTAATTGTGAATAGTATAAGTGTAAGAGCGAATGTGGAATAAATTCGCTACATTCAGTATGGCGTAAAGTTATTTGTCACGTGACATATACCCAGCACATGACAATATCTTTGCATGAGTGAGGGGAGGTGGGATTGTTTGTGCGCACTGCTATTGTGAGAATCACTGCCCCCTTTCCTGGATAGTTCTCGAAACTGAGGACCAAGGCTGGCTGAGATCCTGTGAGAAAGTCTGAGCATGGCTTCACCACAATTAAACAGTGGTTATGAAGTTCAGCAGGGTGGTGTGAGGGGAAGTGGCAGATGATTTGAGTGTGAACATGGACGTGGAAGCAGCATGTCGCCTTCGTATATGCTGTAAGACGCAAGCAATATATTCTGTGCAGGCAGCAACAAGAGACACTGAAAATGACTGCTCGAAAATACAGGTTACAATATTAATGCAGAAATCCTATTTGTTATAGGCTATCTGACCTACAACTTATATTCATACAACACTGAACATTTTATTTGTGTGGTAACCGAAAATATCATGATTTCAGAGCTCTCACTAACTATTAAATCCTCTTTTTGTATATATACAACCTTTGTCCGTAAAGTTCTGAGACTGATTTAATATCTCGGCGTAGGCAAATGGTGGCAACTCCAGGAAAAGGTGTTCTAAATATGGGACATATTATGGCTCGCCTGTGTTATTGACGTTAGTTCGCTTGACCTCCACTAGGTGGCAGGGCCCGGCGGAAAACTCATGTCATTGTAAGTTGCAGATTTGTGCTGTGAGAAGAATGAACGTTCAATTTGAACAGTGAGTTAACATCAAATTTTGTGTGAAGCTGGGCCAGACAGCCACAGAGACATTGCATATCCTGCATGATATCTACGGCAATGAAGCTTTATCTCAGGCACGAGTGTTTGAGTTGCACAGGTGAATCGTGTTGGGCAGGGTGTCTGTGGAAGATCACACAAGATCATGCCAGCCTTCAAGTTCCTGGAACGAAGACAACATGGTTCGCGTCAGAGGGGGGGGGCTACTTTGAAGGGGACAGGAACCATTAGTTAATAAGTCAAATTTTGTATTTTTTACAGACTCAGTCTTGGAACTTTATGGACAAAGGATGTATATATAATTAGAGAGGGAGAGAAAACGAGAGAAATTACAACTTGGATGCAGTTAACTGGTACTTGTGATTCAGCGCTAATGCAGTAATTTCAATTTGTTTTCAGATGTACATGAAATCCCGCCTGAATTGCATTCTTCTGCATTCAACTGCTTTCTTAAAATCTGCAGACAATTTGTGTGTTAAAGAAGGAAGTGATGATGATATACAAATTATTGAGGATGATTATGATGAGCTTTTCAACAATATGGAAACTGTTGAGGAGTTTTCACCCAACAAGAAATGTAAACTCAAATAATAGGAGTACAAAATGAACTAATTACTAAGATCTTAATGAATAAACCATCTTTTTCAATAGAATCTTGATATTGACTTCTTATTAGCCCGCTTTCCTTGTTTTGAAAAAATGAAAGTAGGCTTATGCTGTCTGTATGTCTCTGTACCCCCCCCCCCAAATCAGTTTTTGAAAGACTGAACCAATCTTTATGAAGGTTGGTATGTATGTAATGGCACCTGAGCCGATCACAATGGTGTGATTCTCAAATCCCACCAATTATTCTGTTTGTTTATATGTGTATTCCTCATCGTTTCTAGGCAATGGCTCAGTAATAATGCTATGATGGCAACAAATGCACAACAGTACAAAAATTGTTGAATGTGTCGTTTTCTATGCAGTTGATGCTGTATCAAGGAAACTAGGCCTCCAATTATTCCCAAAACTTGTTTTCATTTGTTCCCATATATTTCTATGCATGTATTTTTTGTGAACTACTGTATAGATATCTGTCATAGCCCTAGAAGAAATCACCAGGGTGCTCATTTCTTCTGTGCACTGCTAGTTCATTGTCATGTGAAATATATAACACCTTTCATAACTAACCACCTAACTCTGTAGAGTTGAGTCCTCCTTTAGAAGCCACCAGTTGTTTGGCTCCTCAAGAATTTTGCAATATTGTATGGAACCCAAATTTTCATTACCAGGTTTAGAGGAGTCCACAGCTGATCCCTATCCTGAGCCAGATCTCTCCAGTCTATACCACCCCATCGAATTTCTCTTTAAGATTCACCTTTTATACATTTACATAACATTGTCATTTAATATCGTGTCTTGAAATACCTTGTAAGAGAAGCATATAATAAATTTCAGGACTTAATCTAATTCTGTCATAGGAAACAGATGCTTTGAAAATGTGGCACAGTTCAGATATTTGGGAACGATAACAGATCAAAACTTGATTGAGGAGGAAATTTTTATTTTCAGCTACAGATAAAAAGTAATTGTTAAAGGTTTCCACAATTACTTGCTTTTCTCTAATCCATTTTCCATCCACCTTTAATCTGCATATTTTTTCCATTTTTTGGCCCCTTATTAGTTTCTAATTTTACTATATCCCATAAAGTTTTATTTTTATTTTTGGAATTTTGATTTTTTTTATCATATTTTAGTTTTTTAGCTTCCATAATAACCTTAGATAAAATTTTACAGTATTTTTTATAATAGTTTCTTAATTCTGAA